ACATAAAGTTTCATAGGTAGATAGATCTCAACATGGAGAACCATCACGCTCTTTTGCATTATTGAAGAGTTATTGCCCTTTGTTATTTTCCATACTTAAATTTTGTCCAGAGCATTACACTAAATGCTGTAAAATAATAGGGAAAACATTGTGAAGAATAGAGAGATTTAGCTATTGTGCTGTAATCATAGGGAAACATTGTGAAGAAAAGAGAGATTTAGCTATTGTGCTGTAATCATAGGGAAACATTGTGAAGAAAAGAGAGATTTAGCTATTGTGCTGTAATCATAGGGAAACATTGTGAAGAAAAGAGAGATTTAGCTATTGTGCTGTAATCATAGGGAAACATTGTGAAGAAAAGAGAGATTTAGCTATTGTGCTGTAATCATAGGGAAACATTGTGAAGAAAAGAGAGATTTAGCTATTGTGCTGTAATCATAGGGAAACATTGTGAAGAAAAGAGAGATTTAGCTATTGTGCTGTAATCATAGGGAAACATTGTGAAGAAAAGAGAGATTTAGCTATTGTGCTGTAAATTGTAGAAAAAAACATTGTGAAGAATATAGAGATTTAGCTATTGTGCTGTAATCATAGGGAAACATTGTGAAGAAAAGAGAGATTTAGCTATTGTGCTGTAATCATAGGGAAATAATGTGAAGAATAGAGAGATTTAGCTATTGTGCTGTAAACATAGGGAAACATTGTGAAGAAAAGAGAGATTTAGCTATTGTGCTGTAAATTGTAGAAAAAAACATTGTGAAGAAAAGAGAGATTACCTATTGTGCTGTAAACATAGGGAAACATTGTGAAGAATAGAGAGATTTAGCTATTGTGCTGTAATCATAGGGAAATATTGTGAAGAATAGAGAGATTTAGCTATTGTGCTGTAAATTGTAGAAAAAAACATTGTGAAGAATATAGAGATTTAGCTATTGTGCTGTAATCATAGGGAAACATTGTGAAGAAAAGAGAGATTTAGCTATTGTGCTGTAAATTGTAGAAAAAAACATTGTGAAGAAAAGAGAGATTTAGCTATTGTGCTGTAAATTGTAGAAAAAACATAGTGAAGAATAGAAAGGTCTATCTCTTGTGCTATAAGTGGCTGGGAAAACACTGTGAAGTAAAGGAATAATCTCTCTCCTGTGTGTTGTCAAGAAAACTTCCTATGTTTCAAGGTCAAGTTCTACATGCTGGGCTAATTAACATTCCGGGAGATAATGGTGAGCTTTTATTGGGTATATATAGGTGATAACAATACCGCCTGGTGTCTGCTATATACTGTTTACCTTTTACCAATTCTCTTGCCAATATGCACTTCATCACACAAGATATTTTTCTGGAAGACTTAATTCTTGCAACACACCTGATAAAAAAAGTAGATTGGGATGCATGTTTACGAAGCCTTCTTACTGATACAGTGATACTATATCTGTTCATGTGTAATTACTCATATCACTAACAAGCTTAAGGTCTAAAGAGTATAGGGAATCCGAGAGGGCAACATCATTGCTTTATGACATCATGATATCAAAGGTCAAAGTAGGTCTCCTGGATATGTCAGGGTTATAGAACTAATTGGTAATTAATGATGTAAATTAATTTGTAGGCACCTGTTATGATAAGTAGCGTCTAGCCGGGTTTTAGTGACGTTTGAGTCTTTACCTGGACCTTTTTCTTTTTGTCAGTTTGACCAGTGTGACCAGGGGTGTAAAAACATCTGCACTCTGCTGATGTTATTTTCCTTTCTGCCTATAATGGCTTCAACTAAGCCTTTCAAGATCTGTATCAATATTTGTAGGTCTCCAACAATCAATTCCTCAAAATCATTTCATTGAAAGTTTGTCTCCTCTACTATTACTCAATCTGTTTTGGTCTTCTTTAAAAAAAAAATTGTATAATTGCTTGTAGCTAGTTACATAATCATTTTCAACATTGACATTATCATTTTCAACATTGACAATATCTAATGTTTTTCCCTAAAGGAAACTAGAGATCAAACAAAATTTTCTGAAGTTAGTTATTTTCAATATGCATTTATCAGGTTTCAAAATAGCATTATGACATTACTTTCTTTCATGTGGCAAGTTTTTCTGCTGTAAATATGATGAAAACTTGCTGTATATAGATTTAGAAATCTGTTTAAGAAGTTAATGTTTGAAAATCAAAGCCATTAGACGGAGATGACAGGTGATAGTGAGCTGTCTGTAAACAGCAAATTGTCAGACACAATACTCATAGACTGTCACATAATACTAGTTGTCACATTGTACCTATTCAGACCTGAAAAGATCGGGAAATCCAACATCATTAAGTTAGGAGATAAATTTGTTTAACGTTGTTGAATGTTTTGTTGATCATACTTACAAAAGTCCATAAATATTAGGGATCAATACAATATCTTAATATAATCTTCTCATACTGTCTGTTGGCTAATAATGTCCATTTATCAGCTGTTTTACTATGTATGGATAGAGAAATGATTGGTGGGATCCTATCGAATTTGAAAGGTCAAAGTTTGATATATACAGTTACTAAGTGATTGACTTTCATAAACTTGTGCCCTAGAATATATGATTTAAAGTCATTGTCAACTTGTTTATATAAAAAGGATAAGTTTGGTCAACTTGTAGACGTCCTACAAATTATATGACATTGTTAATGTATTATTGTTGTGGTTTAAAACTGTGACGTGCCGTGTCATAAAGATGCTCTTCAAATCTGAAACAACGCTAGGAACAAAAACAGGACGGAGTTTTATCTGTACTGTTTAATTTTGTGTAACAAACAGATAAATACATCATATACATATAGACCCGGGAGCTTTAGGCACAGGACTGTAACTGGAAAGAAATAAGCAAGTTTGGAAACAAAGACCTTATCTGTAGAGCAATTTAATTGCTAATACTTTGAATTTGTTTCCCATAAAAATAGATCATTATTTTATCTGGCTATCCCCCTCCCCTATTTATATTCCACAAGTGTATTGCAGCTCCTCTAGAGAAGTCCTAGAGATAAGGAACAGTATGGTGAATCACCAAGCTGTATGGTAAATGTCCACGAGTTTTGAATTGGCAGTGTGAAATAAAAATACTCTGAAATGAAAGTTTGACCTTCTTGTTTCTGTATGGTACAAATTTTTAGCTTACTGTCATCAGTGTCTGTGGTCTGTTCTACATCTGTCCTTCAAGTATTTCATTACTGCTGTTTCTTGATTTACAGATGGATCATTCCCTAAATTTATATGAAGCGTCCCCTTGATCTATAGTTGTGTATGATTGGAACTAATTAGTAAAGACTGACAGGCAGCCATCTTTGATTTTGTTTGTAGAAGCATATTGTAGTTATTTCTTTAGAAATACTGGATGGATCTTTCTCAAATTCACATGAAGCCTCCCCTTTGATCCCAAGTTTGTGCATAATTTGTTTTTGGGACTTACAGTAGAATCAGTATGACAGATAGGTGGCCATCCTGGATTTTGTAATTTAAGTTTCTCGTTGCAATTTCTTGAGAAGAACTGAAAATATCATTCTCAAATTTTATATGTGGATTAACTTCCCTCTGTCCCTCGTTGTCCATTATCTGAAAAAAAAAATGAGTGATGGAACAGTAAATAAGAATAAGGAAGGGAAAAGATTCAACTTAAATAGAATAAAGGTCATACTAGTGTGAAGTACAGGTGTCAAGATCCCTCAAGTGAACAACATCACTCATTTTACATACTGCAGTACAGATTTATCTTATTGTGCTGTTGAAAATGTGCCATATGTTACACTTCTGAGCAGAATACATTAAACACTTTGGCAGGGTACTTTGAATTGGTTTTGATGTTAAACGTATCTGTCATGACCAATTTTGGCTGTGGTACACACTATATGGGCAGTGTAGAAAAAAGAGGGCATATATCACTAATTGAAAATTTTAAGGTAGAAATTTGAGATGGCCTGCACTTTTGACTACAAAAGTTTTTAAATCTGTACCATGAACAAGTGTAACTATAAAACGTACTTGAGCATGCATATTCTAATCAGGACATATGCTTGCCAACCAAGCCAGTACATTTTTGGTGGGTGATGTTGCATTTTTTGTTAACCATTCTGATTCAATTATGGTGATATCAAGTCTGCTTGTAGCATCAAACTCCTGATGTTATTGGGGAGCGTGCTTCAATTTAAAACCAGATCTGTTAAAAAACATTGATGTTTATGTGGAGGAACGGTGTATTAAGTCAAGGGAGGATCATGAATGTCACCATTGTTACGACATAAATGCCAGCATTCTTCAATCACTGGATACCTATAGAATGGGCTGGTGTTTTCAGGCTTACATGTTGACACATCCTGAAGACATGCACTTTTACTCTTGATATAGCAGTGCTCACTTACTTCTTGGTTAACACGGTGTGCCTGCTAAAAAGGGAGAATGAACTTATCCTGATCAAACAGCTGTGTTTTGTTAACCAGAAGTCCTGCGGGTCATGATATTTGGTCAGTGACTTGGTAGTATGAACAGCTTTTTTTTGAGAGCGGCAAAAGAGATTAGCAGTACAGGTCTGTTCGGCCTGTTGTTTGGATTTCAATTCCGTTTATTGGTACAGGAAATAAAAAGAAGAGAAATTAATAGGACATGAGGGTAAAGGGAAAAGATATTTTAAGATAAACCTAAACTGTGCTTCAAAAATGGAAATCCCCATGAATATTCATTTCAAAAGGATTTTACAAGCAGTGGTAGTACCATACATTTTTACAGGAGATAATTAACCATATCAAATAATCATAGTTTTGGGGGTCATTTAAATCAGAATGGTATCATAGGCAGAAATTCTTCTTTCTAAAGCTCCATGAATATTGTAAATCTTGTTTACATATTTGTTCTATAAATTTATCATTTTATAATTGAATTCAGAACTACAAAGAATGAAGGTATTGCATAAACTCTGATATCCTTTCAAAGTATCTGTTTTGTGATTAATAAGAGATATAACCCTAATGTTAATGACAAGATGAATAAGGGAGATAACCCTGATGTAAATGACAAGATAAACAAGGGAGATAACCCTGATGGAAATGACAAGATAGATGAAGGAAATAACCCAAACATTAATTACCAGATGAATAAGGCAGATAATCCTAATGTTATTGACAAGATGAATAAGGGAGATAACCCAAATATAAATGACGAGATGAATAAGGGTGTCAGCCCTAATGTAAATGAAAAGATGAATAAGGGAAATAACTTCGATATAAATGATAATGTGAATAAGGGAGATAACCCTAATGTTGATAAAAAGATGAACAAGGGAGAGAACCATGATGTAAATGACAAGATGAATAAGGGAGTCAGCCCTAATGTAAATGAAAATATGAATAAAGGAGATACCCCTAATGCTGATCAAAAGATGAATAAGGGAGGTAACCCTAATGTTGATCAAAAGATGAATAAGAAAGATTATCCAAATATAAAAGACAAAAATAAGGAGGAATATTCATGTAAGTTATTCATTTTTAGTGAACATTAAAAGAAATGACAATGCAATATCAGTTTTGTGTTTGACAGAACTAGTTATGTCACTTGCATTAGGAATATTGGAGTCCCATGTCAAACATGCACAACTGTCAAAATATGTCTCTTATTTCATGATATAATGTTGCTTGGGGCACACAAGGCATATTAGCTATCATAAATAACTCAAAATGTTAATCTATTGGTAAAAATAAATTTATAAACTACTTGACATATAGACCTTGAAGTCTAGCCTAAATTTAGATGTAATTTCCTTACGAAGCAGTTAGCCTGAGTTCCATGCCTGTCTCATCCAATTCTGATTAGATCAAAGTTTTTGTCTGGGGAGGATAAGAACTAGCTGTTTACAGGGGTGTACAGACATGTTTGAGTGGTAAATCAATATGTCCTCTTTCTGCAGGGAATGTCAGAGTGTCATGGCCAGATATCTGGACTACACATATCTAGACAGTCAGATAACCAGATGTCTATGGTGATATATAGACCTCCAGATAACTAGATGTCTATGGTGATATATAGACACACAGATATCAAGGTGTCTATGGTGATATATAGACACACAGATGTCTATGGTGATATATAGACACACAGATGTATATGGTGATATAAAGACACACAGGTAACCAGGTGTCTATGGTGATATATAGACACACAGGTAACCAGGTGTCTATGGTGATATATAGACACACAGATAACCAGATGTCCATGGTGATATATAGACACACAGATAACCAGATGTCTATGGTGATATATAGACACACAGATAACCAGGTGTCTATGGTGATATATAGACACACAGATAACCAGGTGTCTATGGTGATATATAGACACACAGATAACCAGGTGTCTATGGTGATATATAGACACACAGGTAACCAGATGTCTATGGCGATATATAGACACACAGATAACCACATGTCTTTGTTATGCTATATCTAGAAATCCAACTACCAGATGTCCTTGGTGCATCTCTAAATCCCCTGAACTACTGGATATCTTGAACAGATCCACTAATTATTAATGTATCAAAGGGTTTAACACAGAAAAAAACTATACCAATGAGACAATAGTTTATCTGAGACTATCAGGATCATTGAGTTTGTGTTAAGAATGAGACAGTATAACACAGAGCTGTGGGATGTATGATAAAAGGGTCAGGTTTAAACTGGGAACAATAAAGTCTTAATGCTACTAACTCCTAATACCATCTTAGCTTTGAAAATAGTTAAGATAATCTCCCCAATCAGTCAGGTGTGAATATTGCATTCCCATGTCTTCTAAGAATGCTAATATAACAGAGAAATTGGTTGTATTCCTAAGTGAAAAGATGTGTTTTGCATGTGAAGCTGAAGCGCTATGGAATGCCAAACTGAAGTGGAATGTAACTGCTGAAAGCCATTGTGTTGAGCTTATAATCGTTTAACTATGGTGTGCTGTATAGCACTGATGCAAGGATAGCCAATTAAACTTTTAACTCAATTACATCTTTAAATAGCTACATGGAATTGAACCAACATACCTTTAATGTCAGAAATCTGGAATAGAACCCAGAAGTCAATAACTCCTTAGATTTTGTTTTAAGAAGAACATTCTGATTTAATTTTTGCATAAATTGGTGACATTTTTCAGTTTACTTTGCTTTGTCTATTTTTCTCCATTACATTTCTTCTCATTAACTTCTAATATATGTAGATAAAAAAAATGTCCGCTTTCTAAAATTTCTAAATTTGCCTATTCAACAATTTCCCATTAACCACAGTTGTAGAACCATGCCTTTGTGATTCGTGCGGGTGACTTTCATGCTTGCTGTCACTCTATTCCCTTGATCCCCGGGACCGATAACTGTGTACAGTTCTGTTGATGACATTACCACAGTCCATTTTATTGTGACACATTGCCTGTTGTTTTACTGGATTTTGATTGGTACATATCCTTCTGAGGAAAACATCCTTGGATACACAAATAACGGCAATTGAACTCCTTGACAACAAAAGACTTTTACAGTTCTTTTATAACCCCATGTTGGTCTATGTTTCCATTTGAAGTTTATGAACACTTCAAATTGAGGAAGATATATGAATTTTTTTTGTCTATGTGGTGATATAGCCTGTTCATTGATTCTTCGATGAGTCTGTGTGCAGGATTTCAGATATAGAGTACACGTATAAAAGTATGGTGGAAGTGGGACATCCTGCTGATAACTGACAGACAAGAAATCCATTTTATCACATGATTGCCATCATGTCATTTACTGAATATACTCACGTCATATTTTTGCATATAAAATCAAGTGATACAAGATTAATTGTGACGTCATAAAATTGTCCTAACATTACATCATGCAAACTCTTGTGAATTACATATGACATCGCAGAAATTAGACATAGAGCCAAGATGACATCAGGAAAGGCTTGAAAAGAAGTCCTAATTAAAATTATAGAATAAAAGAAAATTCTATATTATGAAATCAGAAAGAAAATGTATGAAACTCAATTTTTGTCTTTAAGCTCTTACAAGGTTCAGTAAGATAACCATTCCTTAGGTACATTTTATACCTAATATATATATATATATAGATGCAAGCATTTGCAGTATTCAAGACATCTTTGACAGCTTGTGGATAAAATGCTCCTTTATATGGTAACTGCCACTTCAACCGTTAAGTTTTTACATCAGCCTTAGTTTGTGTGGTATTTTACTATATTTACGCTGGTTTAGTTTATCATCCCTGAAGGTGAAATCAAGTGCTTATATCTGGCTAATAATGTTTTTATCCTATTGTAAACTGGGAAAGGGTGTAGGGGGGTGGGGCACACAATCTGTGGAAGTATAGGGTTGGGCTTTCTGCAGGGCATTGAATGTGTTTGTTGACATTTCCTATGAAACAGCAGTATTATATGAGTGGACTTACGACTTGATTTAGTCCATGGTACATAGTGTAAAACCATTTTTGGTCACAATATCATGTTTTTAAATTTGAATCACTTTAAGAGGTAAAGAACAAACATAAAAAAAAACCAACTTAAATTTTGATTTCTATGTTGGTTTGAACCTATCACGATAAATATCTTATCAAAAAGGTTAAGAAACGACCTGTTGACAACTCTTTTCTGTTGTAGCCTAAAAATTCTGGCATCCCATTGTATTGTTGAATCGTCTGATAAGATTGACGTGGCCTAGATTCAGCACATCACTGTATAAAACCACAATAACAGATCATCACAATCAACATGGCTTGTCCGTGTTAATGATGTCTGGCAAGTTATAGTTATCAAGAATGACAATTCAACAGCTTTCCTATATTATTGCTATACAGATTTTGTATGGACTCTCATCAATGTGGTACAAATGTTAGTCAAGAAATTCACCAGAAATCTTTAAAATGTTGGTCAATGTCATTAACACCAATTGCAGTGGCTACTCACACATAGGGGCACATGAATTTGAGATGTTGAGAAATTGAGATGTTGAGAATATGAGATGTTAATCACGAAAATTGTCATGAAAGCCGGAGGATTATATCTTAACACTTGGATGACTGCCTATTTTGCTAGTCCTTTGACTGTAGTATGGCTATGTTTGTCAACAGGTGTTTGTTACACTAGTGATAAAAAAGGATATCAAGAGTTAAGGGACTTAAATGCAGAAAAAAAGAAAATATTGTTCTTATCTCTCTGTAATGTTGATATTTAATTGAATATGAAATTTTGATTTTTTTTATTAATGATTTTGATTAATTTTTTAATATTTCCATAAAGTGGTACGTCTGGTAAAAGGCTGTAATAGTGGAGAGTAAGTAAACAGCACAAAGTGTAGAATCAGGAGCTGTACTAGAAAATTACATGTAAAATTAATGTGCTATTGTATAATAGTAACTATTTTTCTTTACTGAATGACAAAAGCAAACAAATGTTGATGTTGTAGACTAAAATTGTGGAGCTAAAACTTTTACATCATTAAGCATGATATACACTAGTTTCTTTGATCCAAGAAGTTTCTTCTTTTATTAACAGCAACTGTCTTGTGTGTTTGATTTCTGATGAGCTCTGTTCTGTTTTCTTATTCTGGCTTGTCTTTCTCAATTGAAGGTGTTTCAGATGTTTGTCCCTAGATTACAAGATGTTCTTGTAAGGATCATCTGAATAAAACATCACAGAATTCGCTAGTTGCAGACTTTTGTAATTCTTCCTTATACCCTACGATTTCCTCAGCTCCAGGATACATCAATACTCGGAGACTGTAATGTTGAGACTCTTGCTGTGACAGGTTGTTAAGAAAAGTAATTTGAGAGTGTCCGATTTTCTGATGTGATGGTTTGATGGTGGGTTGTAATCGTAATCACAAAATAGCAGTTTCCCAAGATCAGAGAGAATTCTACGGCAGAGATGGTCAGAACAGATAGACCTAATCAATACTCCTGATAGATGCTGACCTGATACTGACATGATACTGACCATAAAAGGGTTTCCTTCGAAACAAGTGACATATATACAGGACAATAACCGTATGGTCTTAGGTTACCTAACATGATGTGATCCACTTTTCATACTCCAGAAGCTACAAATTTATCTGGAATCTGTTACCTCCTAATCCATATGTCAATATCATGGTGCTTTTTTTATTCGGGTGATGAAAGGCTACAGAACAGCATCAATAATAAATTAACGAACACAACACGCCAAAATCTGCTTTATAAGCAATTATACAAGTGATTCTGGAGTTAAAATTAGCTTTGTCAGCAAAAAATACTAGCTTGGGCTTAAAGTCTCTCAGAAAGGAGGTTGAATTTGTCAGTAATTGCATTTTTATAAGGGTCAAGAAGATGACGAATGTTGAAATAATTGACCATGCTGGTTACTGGGGTGCTGTTTTGTACTACAAATGACAAATACATAATAGCTAGGGGCTGTGGGTTTCCTCTTCAAATCCTACCAAACCTCTATTGATCCATTGAGCCATGTTCTCCTGAATTTTTCATGTAGCTTTTTTCAACTTGCCAAGCTCTTGACCTAAGGACATAGAGGAAAGCCTCTATGAATGAAATTTTATGATAAAGTGTTGTGTTGTTTGGATGGTTTTTTTATATAGATAATTCATTATTTAATCAATCAATTTACATGTCGAATTTGTAATATCATTTCTGCAGTCATGGACAAATAGTGACAAGCATGTATGAATACATAGATAAGTTCATTGGAATATGAACCCATTAAAGTAACCTGTTTTATATATATGTTTCCATGTATTTCAATTGTATCGTAGAATAGTCGATACTGGCGATTTGATTGATTTGGGAACAGCATTTTAATTTGTGTTTCTTTATGGGAGTTTCTTTTAAATGTCATGTAACTAAATTACTTTTTAACAACCACCGCGTCTGTAATTTACATTTACAAAAATAGATTTGTACTCCAAGAATATATACATGCATGATTGTCAGAGTAAATCCTTCTTGTTCAGGCTCCTTAGTGTTCTTACCAATGATAGCCAGATGTGCTGAAGCACAATCACACCTTCTGAAATAGAATCACAGCTTTTTTTTTTTGCTTGGTTCTTTCTTTGACAATCATTTTTAGAGAGTGTGAGAGGCCTATGTGTTAACTACTGTACATTGTTACTAACCATAGGTACTATATATACTAGCATACCAATTACCACCTGCTGTCTTCCACTTCTCATCAAGGGCATGTTTTGGGAATTAGAACATGAGCGAAGCACACCAAAGTAATTTGGTGACTTTGCCTATATCACACAAAGTTTTAACAAAATTGTATTCATGTCACCTCACATACCAAAGGTATCATTAAGAATTATTCCTGGCTAATGTAAATCTATGTGAAGATAGTGCTTGAAAAACTGAACTGATAGGAAATCTGCATGTTCTTTTCTCTCTCCCTCACACATAGTTGTCGTGATTATGGTTTTACTCAAAAAAAGGTATCTGTTCTTGGCAAGAGAGTAATTTTACTATTGCACAAATTAGGCTAGAGAAAATGCAAAGGGTAAGAGGTGATTTAGGCAAAAACGATGCTTTCAACTAGAAAGAAAATTGCAGAAAATTTTTGGGATTAGACAAATTCTTTGAGATTAGATTAGATATTTTGGGTAAGATAGGATCCTATGACCGAGGAAAATTTATTTTGGTAGTAGAGAGAATGTATTTAAAGTATGCTTACAATTAGAGAATATTGCAATTAAAGAAGATCTTTTGGAAGATGAAATTAGCAAATACCACAATTAAAGAAGGTCTTTTGGAAGATGAAATTAGCAAATACCACAATTAAAGAAGGTCTTTTGGAAGATGAAATTAGCAAATACCACAATTAAAGAAGATCTTTTGGAAGATGAAATTGGCGAATACCACAATTAAAGA